CGTATTTGTTACCTTTTTACCTTTATTCCTTTCATTCAACTTATTACATATACCAATTTCCATAGCCTCTTTTATCTTGCTTTTCCTAGAAAACCTATGCATTTGAGTTTCCTTGTAGAACGTCCTTATCCTTCACTTTCTCAAAGTTCACCGATTTTCTTAAAAAATGTATGACGGCAGGATTACGACATGAGAAAAGGCCCTTGTTTGCCTATCTTTGACCAAATTCTTCGCAACAATATTATCTGAATAGATTCACCGAAACCCAGCTATTCTTCCTATATGTTTGCCTAGGCGAATTATTGATATTTTAATCCTCATAGAGATCCTTCTGTCTTATATTGCTTATTATTTGTGTTTTATATCTTAGATGTTTCTTTGTTTGTTTTATATTTTAACTTTTATTTATTCTTTAACTTAATCTTAGTCTGGTCATGTACTATTTATTTATCTTACTATTTCAAAAGGTTTTAAATGGTGCTAAACGTCTTGAATTCGACAAACAATCTCTGGCAGTTAACATCCGTGTGGAGTATCTCTCATTTTCGGCGCATGCAGATGCCAGAGGAATCGCTCAACTGATCAGCCAATGTCAACCTCGCCATGTTCTTCTAGTACACGGTGAAGCATCCAAAATGGAGTATCTGCGCTCACGAATACAAAGAGAGTTCGGCCTTCTTTGCGACATGCCGGCTAATGGAGACATTATTCAGGTGCCCACAAGACCCGTCCTCTCAGTAAAAGCAACTACGCAACTCTTGCTCGGTCATGGAAGTAAGTTTATCTAACAATGGACCATCCCTTAATCCCTATAGATAGGAGGCAAAATTTGAGTTAAATATAAATAAAAGGTGTGCCCTATTGTAGGCGTGTTTAAAAATGCAGTTACATTCTTTATCCCATAGTTTAACATCATCGCTACATACTATTTCTGTATAACGGGCTCTTGATGGCTCTAAGCAAACTTATTAGGTTTGGTCACCTTACCAAAATCCATCTTTTTGCTAACTTATTAAATCTAACTCATGGTTTCGGCTTAGAGTCCTGTCCTAGTTTCTCTAACTTATTTTTTGCA